ATGAACCTATTTGTGAGGTCCTATCTCTCTGTCCTGTTAAATCACAGAAGTCTGACTGCAAGAGAGACTGGATCAAAATACTGGGGTTGATGAGAGCAAGTTCAGGACCTGTATGGGGGCAGGGAGAGGGGTACTTGAAGAGTAAGATTTTCCGCAGGTTGGCTCAATGGTCTTGTTTTCATGAAAATGGGTTATTCTCATGTTTTTATGAATGAACATGAAATTTCTAGAGTCATTTCAAAAAAAACATAGCTGATTAAGGATCATACTTTGGCCGCACAAGTCATGCAAGTAGAGTATTATCTCCTGAAGGGTCATATGTAGGTAGTATGGCTCCCTGGGACACGTGAATAAGCAAACCGTTTGGTCATGAGATTATCTAAGATATGTGAAGTTGGGGGAGGAGGGGTGGCAACAGCTTCCAATTATTCTGACTGAGATCCTTCCCAACTTTATAGCAGCACAATTAAAAATAAATCAAACAGGAGAGTCTGAGGGCCCCGAGGAATTTCCCCACACATTCTCCTGATACCCACATTCAAATTTGAGATAAAACGTACCTTCTAATATTTAGCTTCTCCTACACTTAGGGTAAAGAGGAAAATGTAATATACTTAGCTTCAGGAAGTATGCAACTTAGAAAATTTAAAATAATTTATCACTAAGTCAAATTAAGTACCTTCTTATAGTAAGGTGATCACACTCCATCTTAAAAATCTTGCTCAAAATATAAGCCATAGTCTCCCTCTACTCTTGAATTATTATTTCTGTATTTTCAAAGCTATGCAGCAATGTGATGTACAGTGGTATAAAAATAAGCTTACTGATAAGTGTAAGCGCACTTAGTTCCTAATGCGAGATGTGACGATGACAAAAACCAAATTTAAGCTGTAAGTGAATACAAACATGGGGGTAGGTTAAGACAAAGTTATAACAGGTATAATTCTGTCCATCACAAATCAAAACGATGATTCCCTTAAGGTAAAAAACCATATAGTAGAAATGAGATTCTCAAAATAATGAAAAAAGAGCCCTTGAAACACCTTAACAGCAATGTATACTAAAAATAAGGAAAAAAGTAAAGATGAAATACAAGCTTCTTCCTTTCCCACCTAAAAACCCACCCTCAGAAAGAGCACAGAGAAACAAACCCAGTGAATTCAGCAGCACCGTGCTGACCAGGTGTTCCGCGGTCGCTGTGACCCAGCTGCTACATCTGCTGTAGCTTCCTGCACCAAGTCTGCTGCTTTGCCCTCCCCGAGCATCTGAAGAGAAATGACATGTTTCTCTTCAGAGGTGTTAAAAACTTGGGTTGCCTAAAGGACAGATGTAAGTTTGACACCTACGATTAATAACCACAGTGTATTAGGCCAGTGGGAACTTTCACTATGCTGAAGCCAGACAAACTCACTGCTCACACGGTACTCAGGCGCCCAAGTGCCAGGACCCAACGGAGGTAACAAACTATTTTTTTCTTTTAATACTTTACCATTGGCCTACAGGGATTGCCATAAATAAGATTCACAGAAAGGAAGGCTTAGGAGTAGGCTTTTAATAAGTTCTCTAGGGTCCTTGCTCTGAAATATTTAACAAGCTTCGGCATCTTCTTACTCTCTATGAAAACCACCAACTCAAGCCAAGGTTCACTGTGCTTTAGGAACGGACACCAAATGTGTACTTATTATAGGTGCTTTGTTAGGTCTGATTTATCTGAACCAAGAATTCTTATTTAAAATTCTGTGAGACATTCATAAGATTTCTGGTATAAACACACCTCTAAAAATTCCAGTTCTGAAAAATGTAATTAGCCAATTAAAATTTCCCCTTCAGAAGGAAAAAAGCTGGACTGGCAAAGATGGTTCGGTTCTCTCGAGTAGGTAATACTGTACTTAGGTCAGAGGTAAAAGCTGTGCAAGCATACGTAAGTCAGTGTTTGTCTAGAGCAGAGCAAAAGCGTACAGAATTGTTAAAATGAGCTACCAACAGAAACATTTCAGTGCATGCCAATTGGCCCTAGCAGCATATAGCTGAATTTATATGCAGTTACATACCAAGGGAAGATTTCTTTGTGAGGAAGAGGAGGTCAGGGCCCTCCCCCACCCCCAGAGGTTTTTCTAGTTCTCACACCTGCAGGCAGCAGATGCAGTAAACAAGCAGTTGTTTGTAATGCAAATTCAAGTAACGAGGATGCCTCGGGGCTGCTCCCACCTTAAGCCCAAACACAAATGGTCATCCTGCCCCTGACACTCTAGATGAAAACTTACCACTGAGGATGTCAGTTACACAAACACTAGGTCCTGCTAAGGACAGAGTTAAAGAGCAAGAAGTCACAAGCATGGTTAGGGGTGAATAAGAGAGGCTGCCTTCCGGTTAAAGTGTTTTGGATCGCAGACACATTAAAAACAGCTGTTGGGTATTAAAAACCAAAGACTACAATTCACTTCGGTCGGACCGTTAAAAAGAAAAATGGACATAGCCTTGTGGTTAAAAACTGAAAAACTTGTGTAATTGTGCAAACTGCAGAATATCGCCAAGAAAATATGTCTAAAATAAATACGTCCTAAATAAAATGTAACAGAATAAACCAAAGCAGCAGATAACAGGGTAAGGTAACTGCTTCCTGACCACACCTCTTTCCTGCACTCTACACCCACCAACATTTATTCTGGCCACAAATCTTTCCTAAACAATGAATGACTGTTCAATTCACTGACCTCAAAATTTTAATATATGTACTAACAATAAATACCTTCTATTCTACCAAAATTTCAAAATGATTAGCATGGGGGGAGGAGGGTAAGGGTGGCTGGAGAGACCTAAAGCAGAAAATGCTGATTAAGAGAAGAGATGCCTAATTTTCAAGATGCTTAGGGATAATATATGAATACCAGTAGATTTTTATTACATTGACTTTTAATAAATTATTGTTTTGAAAGGAGAAATGGCTGAACTAAGGAATAAATCCCACAAATACTTATTAAGCATTAACTGTTTACAGCTGAAAAGTGTTTAAGATCGTTTTAGTGGTTATTTTCTGTTGTTACCAAGTCAGAGACTATAATTTAGATTTGTCAGAAAGATTATTTGTTGTTCTCAAAAGTCTTTCAACAGAAATCTTCAATTATTCCTTATCTAAAACATATTCTCCTCCTCAAAAACAAACAAACAAAAAACACAAAAAAATAGCCCAACTATAAAAAAAGTATCTGATATGTTTGCATATTTAGTTCAACAAATATAAAAATCTACAAATTTTAAAACTCAGAGGCATTTATTTGGGAGTGGTCCCTAAATATTAAACTGTATTTGCTTTGATTAATCACTTTTTAGGCAGGAGATTCGTATGTACCACACAGACATCTCTATCATTAAATATCTGAAAAGCCTTTTAAAATAAAACGTGAAAACACTATTTCCTATAACAACCATCATAAGATCTCCAAGATCACCATTTTAACTATTATATGAAAATCAGAAATATCTCATTCCCTACTTGAAAGTTCAAGTATCTTTTTGAAATTTATGGAAAAATAATTACAGGAACTTCTAAATCACAGTGCCACATCAAGTGGTTATATTCCATGTACCTGTCATTCTAACAATTGAAGACTACAAATAATCACACAAATACTCTTGTTCATAATCGATTCCTCTCTGCTACTTTGGTGAATCTTTTAGATCCCAGATTGTGTTCACTGAGGTATTAACAACAGTACTTTCCCTAGATGTCCGTGATTTTATTTTTTTTCCACTTAATGGAAGCACTGGGCTAATAAGGCAAAGACCATAGGTTCCATTTTCACAATCCTAGATTTGTTTCCCTTAAGGGTCAGTCAGACTGAAACCCTAATCCCCAAGACCCTGCATACATACATGTTCTTCATTGGGGGTTAGGTGGTAGAGGGAGAAAAAGGCTGAAATAGGGCAAATATATTGATGGATCAGTGAAAATCCATCACTACCACAGGAGGGACGACTCTCAGGGAGAACTCCATCACCAGCACATTTCATATTCACGTACTACGTAAGTTACCCTTTAGATGTTTTCCTACTATATAAATGACATTTCCACTTCTCAACAAAAGAAAAATATCATCAAATAACATATCTGAAATTCTTCAAAGTGCTAAACATTTGATGCAGTTATGTTGCCACTGCATTTTTAGAACTTTAAAAGTTAACTGAGCCATGAGATAAAAAGGACAATTTTCATTAGGGTTATCTTCAAGTGATATTTTCTCAACAATTGACAATAAAGTAAAAATAACTCATCCCCACCCCCCCAACTGATTTTTTTTAAAAGATCTGAGAGAGAAAGAGAAAGCAGGGGGAGGAGCAGACAGAGAGGTAGAGGGAGAGTCTCAAGCAGATTCTGTGCTAAGCACAGAGCCCGACTAGGGGCTCCGTCTCATGACCCTGAGATCAGGACCTGAGCTGAAACCAACAGTCAGTCTTTAACTGGCTGAGCCATCCAGGTGCTCCGCTCCGCTCCCCCCCCCCATCCCCCAGCAACTGATTTTTAAAAAACATCAGGAATACAATAAAACAAGACATGGTCTTAAAAGCTGAAGTAACACTCTAAATGTTCAGCCCCAAATGAGGTAAAGTAGTTCTGATTCTAGATAGCTTGTGGGCAGTGCAAGTTATACAGTACTTAGTTAACTGAAAAATTAAATCAATTTTTTCCTCTCATCAGCATAAACAGCACAATACTCATAAAATCATGAATTTGTTGATTTCACTTTACTTGATTTCATGATAACTGGTGATCTGTTATTTATTAACCTTAAACAATAAGCCAAAAGCTAAATTCCAAGTGTAAGACATCAAAAGCAGCACGCTTTTAAGGCAGCCATTCTTCACAGCAGGTCTTACTTAGTAATGACTGGTCACATACAATGAAACTATTTCTGATGTGTTTTAAAAAACAACTATTTTGCTAAAATACAAATTAACTTGCACTTCTGAAAATAATTTGCCAACATCAGCGTGTTACTCACTGTTCTTGGGATGGGTGGAGAAAGAGATCCATTTGACATGTATGGGTCATTATTCATATTTGGCATCATAATGTACCCAGAATAACTCGAGTAGGAGGGTCCCTTATTGTAGAGGCCTCCATCTGGATGCTTTCCTGGGAGAATCCAAATAACAATCAATAATGCATTGACTTCCTTTTTATATCAGTGCATTTTTCATCTGAAAATCTAATAGTTCTATGACAAATCAGACGTGTTTACAAAATACTGTAACTGAATTATTATGCTCTATTTTAGATTGACAGTATTTATTCTCTTAAATGGCTTAGCAGTGAAACAGATGTTTTAAAAACATGTGGTTCAATTTACTTCCACTACTGACTGGTGTTTTTACAAAAATAAGTGTTATTCATCTAACTTAATTTGTTCTAAAACTAGCAAACTGGCCCAAGAAATACAGACACATGAAAGAAAACACACAAACCTAAAGCTGTATTATAAACATATTAGGCCATCTAGCTATCCACACACACATAAATATTTACACACCTGAAGTTTTGAGCAAACTCAAAAATTCTACCTGTGCTTCTAGATTTCTAGAAAATTTCTAGATTTTCCTGAGGGAAAGAGCTGTATCTAGTATATATGGGCAACTACCAAATTTATGAAGGATTAACTCCAAGAGACTTAATTTTATATACTATACCATTCTGCCAAAGAAATGTGTGTTTAATATACGCCTTTCTTCTCTTTAATCTGTGTAAATACTCTGTAGCTCAGAAGGAAGTCTGATATTATAGTTTTCTTCCCTTCTTCTCCTGGCTGACATTTTGTATGAATACTTTATTCTGGTCAAACCAATTGTAAGTAAAGGAGAACAGAGAATGCAGACTATCCGACAAGAAAACCATATAGATTATTATTTTAAAGTCACATGGAGTTCTAGCTAAATCTAAAAAATATATGCAATTTTTATAGTTTTGAGCAGGAATTAGAAATGGGGAGAAAATCTATCATCTTCCATATGCAAAGTTCCTAATTTTAAGAATAAAGTTTTATATTTTTACAAATTAGATTCTGATTTACTGAGTCATATTTAGTCTGTGCATTCACTGCCTGCCTTCTCACTACAATAAGAAACAGCAATTTTACAAATGAAAATCCATTTGAAACTATTCTTGTTGTAAAACAAATTGGTATAGACTGTCACGCTGGAACAATGCAGAAAAAAATACTAAAGGTCTAAGCCAATTAGAACTTGGGCTAAAATAAGGAAAAGCGGAAAACTTATTATAGACATTTCCCCTTCCACATTGAATCTGGAAGCCAACTAAAACCCAAAGGCCCCTAACTCATTCAAAGACAGTTTTTAAATTATGTAAATATACATGAGAAATAGGCAGTAAGTTTCCTGGGTTTTTTTCCCCATTTTGTTAAAATAGTGGGCACAGTCTTATCACAACTGATGCCCGTTTCTTGGACTCAAAAATCACAAATCTACCTATATTCAAAAACTGCACATATTAAATGATAAACCCGGGAGAAGTAGAATTAGGGTCTTACCATCATCAGGGTGTTCTCTGGCCTTGTCGTGGTAGGACTCCTGAGAGGTTTGTGCTTGTCTGGCCACCTAACAGCAAGAATCCCCGTCCCCGAAATAAAGAAAATCAACTTTGAGTTTGTGATTAAGCATGTGTCCACTGGTAATTCAAAGGAGGAGGGCTGGGTGCAACTCAATCTACCTATTTTATTAATCTAAGAGGGGTAAGGCTAGGGTTGGAAACCTGGAAATCTGTTGCTTTTTCTTTTCAACACATATTTTTGAGTGATTATTATGTACCCAGGACTAGAAAGCATAAGTGAGAGTAACAAAAACAATAACAGTATAGTAAATTTGGGAAAGCTCCACACACTGCTCTGACTGCTGACTGCTGCAGAGCATCCCGGCTGCTTGGATACCTAGTATGATAGGAGTTTGATTTAATGGGGTTCATCATTTTGATAGCTCCTTTAAACCCCTGTTCACAGTCAATCGGAGCTGATTAAAGTCAGGCAGAAATATCACTTTACAACTATAAGGACATTTTAAATAAAAAACTAGGAACTCACATTTAAGGGTCTTAAGGCAAGTGTCCCAAGCCAGTCCCAGCAGAAGCCCCCCTCCTTAAAACCTACCACAGCTAGCTCAAGCCCAAGCTGAAGCTGACCAAAAAAAGTGAACTATTCTGTCGTTAAAGGGAGGAAAATTTGAGAGTTGGGTTATAAACATCTAAAAGGTAGCCCAGCTAATATCAGTTCTGGTAACCACCATCCACCCAGACTCAACCACGTGCAAATCAGTGGTATTACCCATTCACCATCTTCCCTGGTCTGCCCCATGCCCACTTACTACCTCAGCAAAGATTAACAAAGCCCTAATCCCTGGGTTCTATGCTTCAAGCTGCAAGACCCTTCTTCCCAGAGCAAAAAGAGAAAACGTGAACTGGGTGGCAAATTTATTTATGGAATAAGGACGGACAAGCAAAATGAGCAGAAAGAAAAAGAGGCTGCTCTACAAATATGAGAGTCTGGCCTCTAAGTGTTTTGGATGTTACTTGGTTCCTTGGACGTATGTCCCTCCAGGTAACCTCCTCCCCCCAGTACATATTCACAAACCTTTTAAGTGGGTTTGGGTGCACCCTAGCCCCCCCGCACCCCGGTCCCCTTCAAATTGGCATGTTGGGGTGAAAGATTCGAGGATAACGAACACCCGTGTGTTCTCCTTAGAACCCAGGCCCCCAGCCTTACAAATGAGTACTCACCCCTGCCATTGGTATAAAGAAGGTAACTCTGAAGTGTTCTTAAACATGTTGTTTAAAACCCAAAATGTCCCCGCCCCCAAAACCACACGCTTTCATTTTGGGGGCAGAAGGATGCCATTTAAGGGAAAAGGGTATACCCTCCAAGTTTCTTTGGAGGGAAAAAGCGTTGGTGAAATCATTTGAGTAGTCAGGACTTTTCTACCGGATTTCCTCCAAAGCGTTTCCCAGTTGTTAAACCAGGGTGGCCAGTGGAAGTGTCGGGTATCAGGGTCCATCCGCCCACCCCACCCCCCTTTCTGAAACTCTCCACCGCCTGAAATAGCCCTTCCGCGCGGTCCTGCTTGCGGCTTTCTCTCGCCTGTACGCACGTGTCTCTATTTACTCTACTTGGGTTACCTGCGCTATCGCCGGCAGCGGGCCAGGAGATCAGATAAAGCGCTTTCCACCCTCCCCTGAGTGGGTGCCCTGACTTCCGCCACATCTCGACTCTGACTCTCTTTTCGTCTACAAAGATTTAAGGCCTGATTCGGGCACAAACTTACCCGAAATATAAGCGCTTTTTAACTTTAAGTGGCCGGGATTGGAGAAAACTAGCGTTGCCGGCGGTACCGGGAGGGCCCCCCCTTCGGAGGGGGAGGGGTGGCTCGGCTGGGGGCGCCCACGGCTCCCAGCAGCCGGCCCGGGCGCTGGGACTCCGGCAGCCGCAGAGACCCAGGCGCACGCCCCCTCGGCTGGCTGGCTCCGCGCGAACCCCGCTCTGCGGCGGTTGGGACCGCCCCGCCTGTCCCCGGCCCACGCCCGCCTCCCCTTCCTCTCAGCCAGCGGCTCTGCTCATCTCTACCTAAGCTTTGGTGGTTTAACGCACTTTTGCAGAGACATCTACCGAGAGAGCTAGCGGGTGCACTTTGTTTTCCGTTCCACGGAAGAACTTCTCAGTGTTGTTCAGACACCCTGGCTTTAACGCGTCGCACTCTCTCAACCCCACTAAAAAGTCCGCAAGCGAAACGTTATGGGTTAAGGGCAGCTTCTCCTACCCACAAACCAACAATTCAGTCATCGAACCTCAGAACTGATCTACTTGGAATACCCTTCCCTGCACACTCCACCTCCCACCGACACCAACACACGCACGCACGCACGCACGCAGGCATACACACAGGAAGAATGTTGACCAGGGGCCCATCCAACTCCCCCCACCCCCACCCCAGCAAACGAGGGACCTACTCGGGACCCGTCAGTCGAGGCTCCCCGGCGCCTTCCCTCCTTCTCTGCTCTTCCCCGGGACCCGCCACGCTTCACGGACCTCCGGGCAGCGGCCCGCTCACCTCGTGTCCGTTGCTGGCCGGGATGATTTCAGACTCGTTAACCAAGGAGGACTTGATGTCGGCTAAGTCGCCTTCCTCTTCGGGGTGACTGATTTCTGCGAAGATTTTCTCCTTCTGAGGATCGCCCTCATCTTTGAAGGGGATCATCTCGTCGGTGGCGCAGAGTTCCGGGTCTCCCCCGCCGCCGCCGCCGGCCCCGGAGAGTTGGGGCATCCCGACCACTCTATAATCTCCGCTCCGCTGGAGGAGCACCCGAGGCGACAGCAGGAAAGACAGGGGGTCAACGACAGAGGGAGGAGGAAAAGGAGAACTGGAAGGATGCGTGAGGGAGAAGAGCAGGCGGAAACCCGGCCGGCGGCCCCGCGGCCCGAGCAGCTGCGGCGGTGCCCAAGCCCCGGCAGCCGCCCGTGCCTTCCCGCTCCGCGGAGACCGGCGCCGACGCCCGCCCTCGAGGCCGAAGGGCACGGGGCTGCTAAGGCCGCCGCAGCCGACGCCTCTGGGGGCGTCTGAGCTGTGTGGCGCGTGCTAGGCTAGGCTGCCCCGGCGGCCACCCCACGCCCCCGGCGTCTCCAGGGTCTGCGCGCGGAGGACGCCGGTTCCGGAGGAGGCACGACTCTCCCAAGTGCAGAGGAGGGTCCGTCGGCGCGTCTCTAGGCAAACCTCTCCACCCTAGCTTCCTCGGTGGCCGATTTGGAGTTTGTTTTCCGAGAAAGGAGGCAAGCTGGGCAAAAAGTCTCCGTTTGCCCCAGCAGAGAAGGTGCAAGGAGAATCAGAAAATAACGAAATGTCCACTTCCTGGAGAGTAAAAAAAAAAAAAAAAATTAAAGAGCCACGCGGGTTGAGATGTCCGTTTTAGAGCTTCTTATTTCCTTCCCTTTCGCTTCAGTTTTCCTTCTCCAGGCGCATTTAATCTGCTGGAGGAGGAGAAGGTGGGGGAGGAGTAGGAGGGAACAGAAAGAGAAGAAGTTTGCCAAGAATAAAGTTTGTGCCGGCGAGCGCTGGGAGTCGGCAGTGAAGGGTACCGCGGGGTCTCAGGGAGTCACAGCAGGGGCCTCGGACCCAAATGCTTCTGCCCGGAGCTCCAGCCGACACACAAACACACAGCCGGACCCCTCTTTGTTCCCGGCTCGAGTTTCTCAGCCTGGCGCTCTTGCTCGCCGCTCTCCACGCCTCCGCCGGGCCGCTCTGTCAAAGCAAAGAGCTGCACCCTTCGGGTTCGCCTGGCCGAGGGGAGGGGGCGGGTGCCCCGAGCTTGGCCGTGTTCGAGGCTCCGGGCGCGTCCCGGCTCCTCCGACCGTGAGTGCTCAGACCAGGTCCCTCCTCCGCACCCTGCCCCGCAGGTGAGCGGCTGCGCCTCCCCACCGCTTCTCCTCCTCCCGCGCCTCGCTGGCGCTGAAAAGCTACCCACTTGCGTCGCTTCTCCTCCCCCTCCCCTCCCCCGCCTCCAGCTCTCCTTGGCCGCCCGCTGGGGAAGGGGGGGCGGCGAGAAGGAGGTGGTGATTGAGGACTTCTTTTTTCTTTTCCCAGAGCCTGTAGGACGAGTCCTATTTGTGTGTGTGTGTGTGTGTGTGTGTGTGTGTGTGTGTGTGTGTGTGTGCGCGCGCGCGCGCGCGCGCCTAGAGGAAAGGATCAAGCAACTCGCTGAGAGAAGGAAGGATCCGGCGCTTCCTGTACCCCACGGAGAAGCACCCTTTCCCCGCGTGAAATTGACAAGAAACTCTGCCCGAACGCCTTAACTTCATCATCTAAGTATCTCTTCTCTTGTACCCCCCATACCTTCCTTGCCAGTCTCTCCCGCCCCCCCCCTTCCCGCCTCTCTCTCTCTCTCTCTCTCCCTTCCTCCCTCCCTTTGGCAGGGCAACGAAGATGAAAGAGAAGCCGCCGCAGCTGTGATCGACACCACGTTGATAGATGCTCTGACAGAGCGGATGAGGCGGGAATTGGGGACAGAGAGAAGGAAAAGGGGAAAATAGAGATTGCTCAACTAAGAAAATGGAAACAAGAAGGACAAGGAAGAGAGTTGTGGCTTTCCTAAAATATGTCGAAGGACAAGGGAGCACATGCTAGCAAAAATTAAATCTCCAGTCTTACCGAGAAAAATAGGACAAAGAAAAAACTGAAGACTGGATCTTAATTACTGCCTTTTTAAACAAGATCTCTTTCTGTGCATCCTCACCATGGGATGTACAGAGAAAGTTGCTCTAGATCGCTTGTGGATTTGGGGAGGTACACGCCACAATGTATGGGAACCTCATAGAGAATGAAAAATCAACCCAAGAAGGGAGAGAGAAGAAGGCAAAAGGACCCAGGAGAGGGATGCCAGTAGAGGGAGGGAGGACCGGACAGTCTCTGGCACCTCGGACTGCGCACTCAAAGAGACCCTTGAAGATGCAAATCCGAATCCAACCTCAAAAATTCCCCAGCCTCCACCATCTCTTTGATGAATTTTGTACAAGGACAGGACTTTTAAGGAGATGCTTTGTGAAAGTTACAGTATAAGCGAAGCTGAAGTTTGAAAACACAAATTACATTTTGTTCCTTGGCTCTCAAACCCCCTCAGTTAAAAATCCAGGCAAAATCATTATACCTAATACACTAGCCATCTGTAAAACCTCAGAACAGTAAACAAGAGGCAGGAAAAATGTCTCCATCTACCTTAAAGTGAAAATAAGGAAAACTCTACAAAATCAGACTTTAGCTCTATTTTATAGGAACAGTCATGTAAAGATCCCTCTTTCCCTAAGGAAAAAAATGCATGCTGCTGGACATTATATAAGTAAAGACCTTAACAGTGCTCCAAATGAGCACTTAAAACTTTGACTAGGGATGGGAAATTTACTAAAAAGCAATTTTAAAAACTATCAAAGGGTTCAATTGGTCACATACAGAATGGTCAGTTGTCACACATTCTATTTGGGAGATTGGAGCAAAATTAAGGATCTGGTGATGGAAGCCAGGAAGAGTAAAACATTAAATATACTTTAAATAGCTGAAAATGCAAAGCCTTAGAGAAGAAAAACAAAAAGAAAATTCTGCTACAATGTGTGTATAAGACAATACTAAAAAGATAGGGAAAAATTTTTTTTATTGGTGGCAGTAGTCAACTTCCCCTTAAGTTATGCACCAATGTGAGTGTAAAGTACTAGTGATGTGAACATGTAGCTATGTTAGACATTAATACCCTCTGTTCTAAAAGAGATATGGGAAAGCAAAGTCAAAAGTCCTCCTATAAATGTGCCAGTTTGGCTGATAGGAAAAGAACTGAGAAATGCAGTTTCACCAAAGTAGCCAGAGTAGAGGTTCCTTTTCATCAAAATATTGAGGAGGGGGCAGGAGGGGGGGCACACAGAATTGCCAGAGAATATTTTCTGGAAGCCAAAAAGAGATTAAATGACAACTCCTACATCTCCCTGTTTAAGTGTTACAACTAATTCGAATCCCATTTTCTCCTTCATGTTAATTATCTGGACTCCTGGAGTCTTTTGGAGCTCAGCTCCAGGTGTCCTGGAGATTGGGAGCTCGAGAAGATGGGCATTTGGGGAATAATAACTAGTAGGAACTGTTCACTAGAAGGGCCGAGGGTAGGTGGCTATGTTTGGTATTTTTCGGTAACCCTCTCCTGTAGAAACAGTTTCTAACGAAATCACCAGCGCTTTCCTCTGTTTCTGTGGCCGTTTGTCCTCCTCGTGGCTTGCGGGTGTTGACTGATTGTCCTCAGCATTGTTGCAAATCTTGAGATGGGCTGAACTTAAAGGGGGCTTTACGAGGCGAGAAAACATTCTCCCAAGTTTATTTAGGGCTTCGTCTGGGAAGGAGGTCGACATTTCCACGTGAAGTCTGTCTTTACCCGGGTCGGGGGTGGGGGGTAGGGTGGTTGGGAAGCAGGGGCACTCGGGAGGGGTGAAGTAACCCTGGGAAGACGTTCCTTCCTCTCTGACAGGTTCGGTGATGTTCCAGGCAAAGGCATCTCTGTCGCCGGGAGGTCTTTTCGAAATCGCGTGGGGGCTGCTATTACATATGCAGCCGCCTCTTTGGGTGCACAGTCAGGGATGTGGTGGGTGCGGCGCGGGAGAAACGCCGCCGCCCGCCGCCCCCTTCCCTCGGATGTAGAGGCGGGTTGTTCGTGTGAACTCGAGCGAACGACTGGAGGTTGGCTGTTGCAGGTTCACTCCTTCAGGATGTGGGTTTCAGGGGGCGTTTTGATGTGATTTAATTCCGACCGTAAAACAATTGCTAGGGGCTGGCTGGATTGCTGTTGGTTTTTCCCCTCTTGGTGGCTTTGGTTGGTTTGGGTTTAGTTTGGGAGCGAACAGTGACTTGTTTTATATCAACACTTCCCTCATTGCCGGGCGCGGTCGCCGGCGCTGCGCGTGGGGGACTAAGGCGCCCACCCCGAGCCGGAACCGAGGGTGGGGGAGCGGAGACCCGCCTCGCAGTCCGCAGGGTAAATGGGGCCCAGCCCCCCGCGGGTGTGGTGGGGAACTAGGAGAATGACCCCCACCCCCAACAGAGACCCCTCCCTCCGGCGATTTTGCTGCTAAGTCGACTCGGCTACAGACACTCAAGTGAGTCCTTAATTACAGGGAGGAGAGAAAAGCGCGGTGCCCTTCAGAGCCCCCTCCGCCCCCTCGGTCCTAACCCGCCGCCCAGACTCCGGGTCTTCCCCTTTGTGTGGCCTGGACTCTCCTCCAGCTACAACTTTGGTGGGATCCCAAAGGAAGGAGGTGGCGGGGGCTACGCAAGAGGATGCTGGAGGAGAGAGCAAGGATGAAGAACTAGAAAAACGAATAATGTTGATTGCAAAGACGGACGGAACTCCGGCACCCTCGATTTCCCACCCCAGCTTCGCCAGAGACTAAAGCTGTGGGCACCTTCAGTTTAACGGACTTCGCAGAAAAGAGAAGGGAGGGGCGAGGTAAATGGCAGTTTGTGTCCCAGGGGTTCTTCCGCCTCTTCTTGTCTCCTTCTAAGACAAACAAACTCAACCCCCTACTCGCCGGGGTAACTGAACTCGTAGCACCGTGAAAGTGTTGTTCCCAAATTCCGCCGCGTGCAGACGCCGGGTTTCCGCGGAGCGGGTGCCGGTTGGCATCCGCAGCTCTGCACAGCCTCGAGGGGTCCGCCTACGGAGACCCCGCGGCCGCCCGCCCCTCCAGCCCTCCGGTGGCTTCTCCCGCGCTCGCGCGGGCGCGGGCTGAGCTCGGCGTCCGCAGCTCGCGGGTTGGGGGCCCGAGGCGCGCCCGTCCAGGGGGCTGTGTCCTTCCAAGGCCCGCGAAGGAAGACCACATCCCAGCCCATCTGGGACCAGCCGATTCTCTTGTCAACCAGGAAGCGAGGGTTCCCATCCCGGGGCCTCCCAGAGCGAGAGGAGTCAAGCTGGGGTGATGGCGGACAGGAACGAGGGGACGAGGGGCGCGTTCGGAGGCGTAGAACGGGCCACTAAGAGTTCCGCCACGCACCTTCACGGCTGGGCTCCGCGACGGGAACCCCTGTCAACCCTCCCTCCCCCCGCCACGGGGACCCCGACTGCGGTGCAGAGGAGCCCGCGCTACGTCTGGAAGGGGGAATCCCCAGAATGGAATAGAATGGATGTGCGACCTGGGATAAATTTGCAGGCCACAGGACAGCTCGCCTAATGGGCTGGAAGTAAAATTCTTTTCCCTCCTGTCTGAAAACTTTTCTCAGGAACCTTAACTTGGCGTGGGGACCGGCCTCCGGCCGCCGGCGCACAGCACCGACTCGGCGGCCCGCCCCTTCGGCCCCTCCTTCCACAGCTAGTTCTCCTTCACCCGCTCTCGGGCCGGGAACGCGCGCCTTACAGCCGCGCAGAGAGGCCGCCCCGCGCGCGCGATCCGCGCCTTATATCCTCGGAGGGCGGCGCCTGCGCAGGGCCCGGCTGGGCGGCATGGCCTTTGAAGTCCTGGCGGCTGCAGCTTTCATCCTTTCTTTTTTCCCTTGCAGGCCCCTTTGTGTGACTAAATTTGGCAAGAATATGGATCCGAGCCAGTCTTTCCACGTGTGCTCCCAGCTCCCAGCTGAGAAGGCCAAGGGTTCTCTTCCGGGTAAGGAGACAGGGAGAAAGATCAAAGAGTTTGGGGAGCTGGATCTGAAATGTGAATTGAAAATAAAAATCAAGCCTGGACACATTCCAGTTTCTAAAGCAAAACCAACCCTTAGCAGAGGCCGTCTGGCTATGCCTTTCTTTCTCCTTCTGCTCTTTCTTACTCTTCTCTCCCTTTCTTTCCCGCAACCATTCTTGAGCACATGGAATAAAATAAAGAGGACATAGGGAAACACTTAGTTCCTCCAGATTTTGTCTTGCAGTAATTTTATTAGGGAAAATATCTTGTTCATAATTACTGTTATGTGAAGCCGAATTTCTTGAGCCATAAATATTGTCTTATTTCAGTATGCTTCACACTTTCTTTTGTAGCCACATTTGGAAGAGAATGTTGACACACGGCTGTGTGTTCATTGTGCATAGTGCTTCTTTTGCTACACACGATCTGGTGCACTACATAGTTTTCTTCCACAGAAGTTAGATCCTGCAAAACCAACGTTAATATTATTTATCAAAGCACTCACTATCTGGTGTCTTTGGTTTGAAATCCTCTTAATGACAAGAGATCTGAAATCTTTTCTTACAGGCAACTAGCTAGAAAGTTTGTCTTTATAGTTTAGGAAACCACAAGGCCCCTTTTGGAATACAGTATTCTGTTGTTTCAGAAGTAACCCATATGAAGAGATTGCTTTGAAATAGTGTAATGCAGAGTCAGAAATCCTGGGTCTGAGGTGGGCTCTGCCACTCCTGTCATGCTATGCTGACCTCAGGCAAGCCATTTAACCTTTCCCAGACTCAGCTTCCTTTCTGCAGAATGGGTGTAATAATGGCCTGCTTGACAAGATTGTTGTAAGAATTCAGTGAGATAGTGCATGTGAAAGTATGTACAAATGTAAGGTATTATTAGTACATGAAGCAAAGATGATTCTGCAGGAGACCTGTAAGTTGCAAAACAAAACTTCTAAGGCACTAGGAATCTCTACCATGGGAGTAAATGGGGATTATTTCACACACATGCACATGCTATAACCATCTCCATATCTGCAACAGTTGTGTTACAAAAGCACCAAAATCATCGCAGCATTTGTTACCCCTAGAGTGTGATAAGAAAAAAAAAACATTCCAAGGAGAGAGGGAATGTGCCTTAACTCTGCCTCGTGCTTATGATGGGCTCTTTTTTTTTTTTTTAAGATTTTATTTATTTATTTGAGAGAGAGAGAGATTGAGAGAACAAGTGGGGGAAGGGGCAGAGGGAGAAGCAGACTCCCTGCGGAGCCTGACGTGGGACTTGATCCCAGGACCCTGGGATCATGACCTGAGCCAAGCTTAACCAACTGAGCCACCCAGGCGCCCTTATGGTGGGATCTTAATGAACAGATAAATGAATGTAGACATATGACACCGAAAATAGAATATTATTTTGTGAGGCATTTGACACAGCTTGTAATAACTCTGAGAACAGCCTTAGTAGTCTGAGGGCCTATGAAAGGGTTAACATGTAGTATATATAGATAAAATACTTAAACAACAACAACATTAAGAACACAGGGCAGGGTGACTAGAAAGGTGTGTAAGAAGTGTTTCTTGGGAGTGTGTAAATACCATCCGAATTTATGTTTCAGAATAGAATGTGATTACGTATCTCAGACTGAGGCATCTCAAGTTTACAAGGCAATGAAGGTTATGGCCAGGGCTGGGTGTGAAGTGATAGGGCCGCGGCATGTGTAGCACTTAGGGCATTTAGCTGAGGGTGCTTCATGCGTGATCCTTTCTGTTTTTTGTTTTTTTTTTTTTTTAAGATTTTATCTATTTATTTGACGGAGAGAGAGAGAGCACAAGTAGGCAGGCAGGCAGGCAGAGGGAGAGGGAGAAGCAGGCTCCCTGCCGAGCACGGAGCCAGATGCGAGGCTCCATGCAGGGCTCCATCCCAGGACTATGCGGGGCTTGATCCCAGGAGCTGGGATCATGATCTGAGCCGAAGGCAGACGCTTAACAACTGAACCACTCAGGCTCCCCGCGTGATCTTTTCTAAATTAAGGTAACTCCTCTGATGGAGTCATTTCCTGGGCTCCACCTTGTAGTATAAGCTTTTCAGTGAGACCTGCATACAAAGTGGTGAAAGCAGGAGTAAAGGGTGGTTTCCAGGGTTCTGGTTCCAAGTCTCCTTTTACTGTGGCCCAAGACTGCCCCGTTACAGAGTCTTCCTGAGATGCTCCATCTCTTTTGGCTGCCTCCTGCTAGCAGCAACCCTCATATTTTGCACATGGTGTGGACTCTATAGCAACGGGAGGGGGTACTTAGGGGACACCTTCTATTTTTAATTTACCTTTCCCCAAATGTCCCAGATTAGAAGTGAATGCTGATCAAGTTCACTGTCAACTTCAGTCCTTCCTTTCACCCTTCTTTATGGATGCAGCCATTTTGAAATTTATTTTTGGCTGGAAAATGAACATCGACCAAGGCACTGAGGGTTTTGTCTTGTTTTGGGGGGCAGCGGGGAGGGCCTGTAAATACTCAAAGAAAACCTGGGGTCCTCTGTGGGAGAAAATAAACTCTCTGAATGGGGAGGCATGGTTAAAGGATTTTTCCTACTTTTATAAATTTATTTCCTCAGTGGATCTGATAACGAGGTGTTCCTTGAATTGAGGTAAATGCACCTCTTAAGATGGATGGTCTCTGTAGTCTTCTCAGGCCTCCTGGACTATAGAAGCAAGGCCCTGGGCTCTGTGCAGAGTCTAATCCCTGGTCTGAGGCGAGAAGCCAAAGCCACAACCTTCTTGCCTGAAGGCAAGGGCAGTACCAACAGAGCCATATGGAGATGAATGCAGAACAAGGTCATTAGTCTTGTTGTTTATCCAGTTACTCACAGCACAGATTTGTGTAAATTTCAGCTACAGTGGTGGTAGTCTGTCTTTGAATGAGTGTAATCTATACATTTTAGTGCTCCAGGAAAGTACCTAACTGACAGGAACAACATCCAAAGCTCAGAAAACACATCTACCCGGGCACAATGAAGCATGTTGAACAATTTTCCAGTGAGTTCCATCCAAGTAAATAAACCAACCTGGGGGGTCAGGATGGAGCCTCCTTTTTATCATGATATGACTTTTAGGGGTCCTTGTGATTGATTTGTATTTGTTTCCATTTGAAACTGGGTACCTGCTTTTACCTCTCAGAAGAGAAGGGTCCTGGACTATGTAACATTTGACCTTGGGGATGCTTTCTTTTTAAAAGTGCTTCTGTCCATAAAAACAGACTCATTGAGTAGTTATCCAGGCTAACATATACACTTATCCAAGACATAGCTTCTAGTTCTTAACTCTGTCTTGCATGTGCAGCTATGCTTAAACTGAGAATTAGCAATTATGGGAGTAATTGAGAAGGTAGGCAGAGCCAATGCAAATAGTTTAGGCTACAAAATTGTCATCTGGCTCAACTAAACACTTTTCTCTGGCAAAAATAAGCTAATTTGCCTGATCTGAGTTTGATTTAAAGGTCCTACAATCCCACTCTGCTAATTACAGATCTCAAGTCCTCTTCCCTTCGGATAAATTGGCAGAAATCAAGCGGCAGAGATAAATGACTATGCTATGAAGTTAGACAATGCTTTTTGACTGCCAGTTCAGATAACTGTACAGAATCCCAAATATATTTTGAGGCTTGAATTATCCAGACATTTGACCTTTGCTGTTCAAATTCTCTGAATAATTTTTAGATTATTTTACTTTGTATTGCAGGAACAGCAAATCTCCAGGGGCTGAGTCACATAGACCTTGTAAGATCTCTCTTGCACGACTAAAGTAGCCTCCAGCTGGTGTCTGGCTTCCACTCTTGCTGGGTTCCATGCATACCCCACTACAGTCCATGCATCATAAAGCAGTCAAAGTCATCCTTGAGCAGTTCCTAGTGTGGAGAGGAGGCTTCCAACTTGCTATGTGGACTGGCTCCTGGCTTCCTTCCTCTTCACCTGCTCTCCAGCCCCTGGCTCTCCTGCTGTTCCTCCAATGTGTAAAGTATGTGCGCGCGCAGGCGCGCGCGCACACACACACACACACACACACACACACCCTCAATCCTTTATTTGTTGTTGACTCTGCCCAGAAACTCCTGGCCACATAGATATTCCCAGGACTCATTCTTCATGTTTCTGCTCAGATGACAACTCTCTCACTGCTGCCTCATCCCAATTCTGGGCCCTGTCTATTCTTTCACAGCTTCATCTTTCTTCACCTGTCACTTCCTGACATGTTTTTTTATACTTATTTATTTTTTACCTTCCTCTCCCACTAGAACATAAATTCCATGAGAGCGGGCACTTTGTTTTCTTATATCCCCACTGCCTACAACATTCCTTGGTGCACAGAAAATATACTAGATACATGTCGAAAAATGAATTAATACAGCTTTTGAACTCTTGGTTTCCTTATCTGTAATACTTCCTTTATGGAAGACTACATATATTTGATATAAAACCACCTGGTGCACTGAGTAGGTAGTAACTATAGCTGTGTAGATCAGCATTGCCAATAGAAATACAGTCCAAGTCACATAGGTAATTTTAAATTAAGAAGCTAGAAAGAGAAAAGTTAAATTAATTTTAATAATATATTTATTTAACCTGAATATCCAAAATGTTACCATTTTAACATGTAATCACTATAGAAACTTATTAATGAAAGATTTCACATTATTTTATATTAACTTTTTGAAGTTTGGTGTGTTGTTTACTTACAACACTGTCAGTTCAGACCAGCCACATTTTGAGGCCTCAGCAGCACATGTGGCTAAGGGCTACTGTATTCGGTCAACGCTTTTGTTTATTTATTTATTTATTTTAAAGATTTTATTTATTTATTTGACAGAGAGAGACAGCGAGAGAGGGAACACAAGCAGGGGGAGTAGGAGAGAGAGAAGCAGTCTCCTGCTGAGCAGGGAGGCCAATGTGGGGCTTGATCCCAGGACCCTGGGATCATGACCCGAGCTGAAGGCAGACGCCTAATG